CCTTGGTAACCCGGGCGACGACCGAGCCGGTGTAATTTTCGATGGCGTCAATACCATGAGTGGCAGGTGGTTGAATTTTACGGAGACTTGCCACGGTCTCCAACCCTGGTGCTTTCTCATCCGGGCTTGGGACCGGCCATGGCGGTGTTAAATTTTATTGCGTTATCAATAATCTTCGCTGTCTTGATTATAGAATGGAATATTATTGTCTCAAAGATTCTGATGTAAGTAAAGGCTGGTCAGCGGATGCAGCTTTAGCCGTTTTCATGCACGTTCACCCGATTGTGGTGAGAGTATGCCATAATTTCTGTTATTATTCCGCGATCAAGTGAGGATTGTCGATATGTGATTTTCTTCACGCTTTTGCACCGTTTAAGATGCCTGGAAGAAGCACAACATATACCATATGTTCGATCGATTCCGTTTTACCGCTTGGATTTATCCAAAATGTTGTTCATCATATGTTATGTCTCTTTGTAAGCACCACTAGATTTTGTTCCTTACTGGAAATTCTGTTTGTGAGAACAATTCACTGTTCTAATGTCAAATGAGGTTTTTCCTATGTCGATTTTATCAGAATTAAAGGCAGCAAAGCAACAGCTATGAGGAGCTCTTTTACTCCATGAATCAAGCCTGGATATTACAGTTGTCTTCTCCACCATTTGATCGCTGTCATTTAGTCTTAGCGGCGTATATCGATTGCATGCTTCTGTGACTCTCTGTAAATGTCAGTCCTTCGAAAGAATGCGCAAAGGTTTTTATTTTGTCCTTGACTACTTCAGTTGCATTCAGTTGACCCAAGGACATATAAGCAGGGAACAGATGATCCTCGGTGGTGAATACAGCGATACATCAATATTAATCTGAAGTTTCGAGGTGAATTATCGAATGAGAAGAAGGGATTATTCTCCCTCCATTAAACAATGCTTCAGTGTACCTGTGTGACATAAGGCATCACTCCGTGGTGTGGAGGAAGAAGCACTGAGAAGATATGACTGTTGCAGATCCAACTGAGGAAGACCCCGAGCCGCCAAGCGTCACAGAGCAGTCAAATGGAACCTAATTCAGATGAGGTGACTGGCAAAAGATCTTTTGCTAGAAAGACGCCGGACAAGCGTGGATGGAAGCCAGGCATATTTGCTAAGATCGAATGGAATGAAAAGCAGAAACAAAGTTGACTCCAACACCCATGCACGCGCCTTGGGTTTTCGATAGTTACGAATTGGCAGCCAAAGGACTGCTGGGGCCAAATTGGAAGACCCTGGCTGGGTAGGGACGATGAGCTAAAACAGTGATTTGGAAGCTTGGCAAGATAATTTGCACGAGACAGATGAACGTGGGAATCTGGACTAAGCAATGGTGATTCCATTAATTGGAAAGAAGGATAAATGAATTATGTGTATAGGACGATTATGCTTTAGATAACTTTCAAATAAAATTAACTTTATGGTCCTATAGGGATTTTGTTTATAGAGCCATTATCGCGTGAATGACTGCACTTGAATGACCACGTGTATGACATATTTCTCGTTAATAACTTTCTGTCTATTTTTGCATTGTGATTCCCGAAAAAGCATTTCATTTCTTCTACGTTTATTGATTGCAGTTCCCACCTCTGTGTAAACGACCTACAGTATTTAAAATTTAAAGTTGCGGCCGACACGCAATGACCCTCATTTCGACGTAATCTAGATTCTCGATGAATGAAATACGCGTTACCTTTATTTAACATAATTTTTGAATTTTCTGACGCGTAAAAATTAGCTTAATAAGATACGAACAAACTTCTCTTCGCCATAATTCAAAAATGAGTCGGTGTCGATGGTTTGCATCTGATGTGAAACTCGGTCATATCACTATGGAGACGATCTATGCCAAGGTTTCAATTGCCGCCTCGCCTCCGTTTTCCACTGCATTGAAAATTGGGTCAAACATTACTGACTTCTTCGAATTCGTACCATCCTTCGAACTGGGAACTTCAAACTAAGCTAGGGTAATTGTTTCGTAAATGGGACAAAGTTTCCGATATAAAAACTGTGAGGGTTTGCGATTGGGTGAAACACTGAGGAACCAGTACCTCCAACGTCGGTGCTGAAGCTTTGTCAAAAATGGTGCTTGTAATCCAGCTGCTGTTTGTTGTCAGCTTATGTGTTGGGTCTACAAACGCAGTGCCGTCCCAAGAAAAGGAAACAGCAGCTGCAGGCAGCAAAGAATTGTCCGCATCGCTGGCCACTGCCATCGTCTCCAGAAGATCATGTGACGGCGAAATCAGGTACAAAAGATACACAGGGATCCGATCGAAGGCCCGAGTCATCAGCATAACTACGACGCGAGACGAAGATGAATGCTTGAACCAGTGCTATGAAATGTCTCACCCATGCACATCGGTGAATTTTTACAAAACTCGACGCTGCGAGCTGTTGTTCGACGATCAACTGACTTGCGAGTATGTGCGCGACAACGACGTCATCGTTTTTTCCAACATCTACTGTTCTTCGGCTGAAGGTAAGAACTCGACCTCTCTGTTTCATGTGTCGTCCATTGGCTGCATTTTTCTCACTTTATGTTTCCACGGGCTGGATTTTCATGGCATTGAGGAAGTGTACAGCAAAATTATCACACTGCTGGTTTCTCATGAGGTTAACAGTGCGCTAGCTATATCCACAACGAGTTTCATTGACCGGGAGGAATTAGCTGCATCACTGAACCATTGACACTATCCAAGTATCGCTTCTTCGTTTTGGTGCACTAGCGACCAAAAGGTGATTGCAAAAGGTTGGCGTGGATCCTACATCAAGGATATCTGAAGTTTTCAAGACTCGTTATCCCCTATACGTCTGAATCTAGCCAAAGACGTTTTATTTTCATATTTGTACAAAATATTTCGATTCAATAAATCTGTGGCGTTGTTTTAGAAAAAACAAATGTGGAAGATTCCTATACATTGTCATGTATCACGCCTTGAATTCATAATTAGATGTCAAATGTAATGATGGGTTGATTTAGGAGAACTTTATTAAAATGTTATCAAACACGAACCCAGTTTTGTTATTTCTTTGCGAAATAATCAAAGCATTATTAATTATTACAGGATCAAACACGAAACATTTCTTGTGCCACTTTCAGAAGTGGACGACGGCTAATTGTTTTCATTTTTGACTACACTCTTCCAAAATCGTCTTGAACTTATTGCTGTCTCGATCTTGTACTTAAGCACTGCATCATTACTGTCGATGATGTGAGAAAAATGTCGTAGATTTTGCTACTGAATATTTTTTGAAAGATGAATGATAAGTGCCCATTTCTTACTGCTGCAATTTTCAACTAAGGCTAACAAAGCTTGAACAGCAAGCTGGCTAAAATTTATGGTGACGACCAGCATCGATCAGTCGATTAAGCGTTTATCTTACAATAGTAAACTCGAGAATTTGAGTCCCGGACATATAACTCTCTTTTCGTCCTCTCTGAGTTATTTTTTCTCGCTTCTGTTTTCCTCCATTCTTCTGTTACAGTCTTCACTGTTAAATTTTCATGTTACTTCATTCATCTGCGCCCATATCAGCTTCATTTCTAGCTGTTAGTCTGTTTTTTCTTCGAATCTATCGTCGTACCTCCTTCTTTTTGGAATCTGTCAAATAGAGGTTAGGTATAAGTGAGGAAATAAAAGGGTGCGACCACCCGCTTATAAAACAGATTCTTAAAGGTGAGAAAGTGCAACGAACTTTACTGACCCTCACAGGCACGAAAGCAAGTTTTATGTGTAGCGCGTTGTACATTATTGCTTTTAGGAGGTACAAATTCAGTGATCACTGTGCCGACGCTACTTAGTACTTCAGGTAAGTCACATACAATGAATAAAAAGTGGTTGCCGAAATGTATGTTTGATTTTTAAGAGTCAACAGCTGAATATGTCGATGGATTCGAATGCGGAAGGCCAAGAGTACCTCCTCACAAACCCAGTTTCTTGTCACAGCGTCAGAGACGACCGTCGTTTCGAATCATCGGCGGAAGAGAGGCTAACCCACACAGCTGGCCATGGCAATTATCACTGCGCAAAAACGGTATTCACGTATGCGGGGCGATTCTGGTACATCCTACGCTAGCCGTCACAGCCGCACACTGTGTTGCTTCCGAGTAAGTTAATATTTTACAAAGTTAGCAAATGAAATTTTTTGCCAAATACCAACTTATCCTGTGCATGTTTCGTCGATTTATACAAAGTTTTCGATCAGTCAGAAGATGATCCGTTTTACATGTCCTGAGGAGTCGGTTAATTGAAAAAAACGCTGGAGGCGTCATTTCCATGACCTAGAAGAACGCATTGGCTAGAATATAGC